AGGCCACCCCGCCGGGGAGCCCCTCCCCTATGTGGATGTTGTGCTTCTCGGGCCAGGAGCCGTTGCCTGCAGCGGGGAGGGGTTGCAGCACGGGCAGTGGCACAGCCGCGGGCAGCCGGATGCGAGGAGGGCGGCTGTCCAGCCCAGCGGCATGGCTGGGGCAATGCGGGGCAATGCATGTGGCGAGGGCTGCTGTACGGGTGCGCCTGCCAGTGCTTGCAGGTGCGCAGAGGGCTGCTGCCCGCCCCGGGACCACTCACGGCACAGGTTTTCGAGCGTCTGGCGGATGCCGCGGCTGTACTTGGGGTTGTTCTGCTGCGTGCGGCCTGCGCGACGCAGGCAGAGGCCATAGCAGGGCGTGGCGTCGCACGGCGCGGCGGCTAGGGGAGCGGGCTGCTGACGCCAGCGCTGCGCCAGGGCCAGGCCTCCGCCCTACCCTTGAAGAATGCGAAGAAGCGGGAGCGGTCAGGGGGCGGCGCCCCCACCAGCGGCGACCTGCTGTACTTGAGGGGGCTGGCCATGGGGGGGATCACCAGGTCCTGGACAGCAGGGGGGGTGGCATACGGGTGGGTGGGTGGGTGGGTGGGTGGGAGAGCACGAGCAGGGCAGCGCGGCATGAAAGGAAGCATGACCACAGCGTGGGCACAGCATGGACGCCCGAAGACGCTGCACGGTGCTGGCTCCCACCCAGGCGCGTGCGGCACAGCACCGCGGCCGCACCTTCTCTGGGTCATAGCAGGGGAAGTCTCCCAGCTTGCCTTCCGTGCCCTCAGGCATGTACACACCATGCCTGCAGCCGTCCAGCCCAGCAGCAGCGATGTCAAGGCCGATGGCTGCCAGCAGTGTGGCCGCGGCACAAGACACAAGCAGGCTGGCCACAGGCGCAGGCATGGGCTCAACAGCTCACCCGCCGGGCCGGCTGTAGCTGCGCGCCGAGCGAACATTGAAGGCGAGGGGCAACACAGGGCAGCCGGGTCAGGTGGGGCGCGGCAGCACACATTGGGTTAACAAGCTCGGGGCTGGCGCCGCGCGGCAAGGCAGCACAGGCTGCCACCACATGGCGGCACAGACCCACAGCACCGCACCCCGTTGCCCAGCACCGGCCAGCTCACTCGTCAGGCCAGTAGCCAGTGCTGCTGGTGTGGCCCCGGCCCATGCGCCCCCAGTGCGTCAGCAAGATGGCGGGGCGCAGCACGGCGGGCAGCCAGCAGGAGCCCTCGTCGTGGGACTGGAGCTGCGGGGGTGCAGCAGGCGGGGGCGGCGAGGCGCGCTGTCGGGGCAGGCGGGGCTGGCGGCAGGCGGGGCTGCGGCAGGCAGGGCACCGACTGCATGTTCACAGTTCAAAGTCCCAGCTCAAACTGCTGCTGCTGCCCCAGAAGCTGCCCAGAAGCTGTGTGGGCTCACGATGATGTGGTCCCTGCCGCCTCGGCGGTCCCAGTAGGGCAGGTGCGTCCTGATCCAGTGGTGCACGTCTATCAGCATATTGACGGTACCGTGCACGCGCGTCACAGCTGCAGGCCAGGTCACACCAGCGAGGGGCGCGGCCGGTGTGTGGGGCTGGGCCCCTCTGGAGGCAGCGCAGGTAGGCAGGCGCGGCAGAAGGCATGCCATATGCAGCGCAGGCGGGCTCACCGTGCATGGAGTGGAAGAAAGGCATGTCGTGGCTGCCTGCGGCCAGGCGCGGGCGCGGGCACAAGATCAGCACACGAGCGTGCGGCACACAGGTGTGCGTGGCTGCACAGGGACTCCTCTGCCTCCAGCAGACAGCTGCTGTGCAGGAGAAACATCAGGCGTGTGGTGCGGCTCCCACACTCACTGTGGATTGGGAAGATGTCTGCGCGCAGGCGGCACGAATACGGCGATCAGTCGCCACGACTCCCCATGGG